GGGTTTAGGGTTTAGGGACTGTAGGAGTTTAGGCTTTAGGAGTTTAGGGTTTAGGGTTTAGGGACTTTAGGAGTTTAGTGTTTAGGGTTTAGGGACTTTAGGAGTTTAGGGTTTAGGGTTTAGGGTTTAGGGTTTAGAGTTTAGGGTTTAGGGTTTAGGGTTTCGGGTTTAGGGTTTAGGGTTTAGGATGCTTCTGTCGTCCTTCCGTGTTGCGCTGAGAATGTTCTGGAGATGGTCTTCTGATCATTCTTCTTTCTCCCAGTCGCTACTGGTGCATTACATCACAGTCCTTGCGGTTGCTACTCTCATTTTCATGTTGCGGGTATTTGTAGTAGCCGCGCTGTTCCTTTCGCCCTGTTTGGTCTTCTATTGTCCTATGTTGCCTACACACAGACTCTTCGATAGGCACAGGTTGCTCCGGGCTGTCAACGGCACATGTGGGAACACGCCCCAAACCCTAAACCCTTCGCCCTTTTCCCAAAACCCTAAACCCTAAACTCTCTAAGCCCAAAACTCTAAACCCTACGCCCTAAATCCCAAACCCCATTGAAAACGATTTGCATCGAATCCCTGAGCCCTAGCCCCAGACCAGAAACTAGCACCACAAAACCTAAACCCCTAAGCCCAGAAGCGTAGATTTGAAGCCCGTGAAGCCCTAAACCCTGAACTCTCTAAGCCGAAAACCTCCAAAGACCGAGTTTTTCGAATGCGGTGCTTCCTTCGAGCCCTTTAATCCCGGCTCCTAAAATCTACCACCACTGCCGGGGGAGAATGCGAGGTGTACTATGCAATACAGGGGTTCTGAATATTTCCCTAAACCCTAAACCCTAAACCCTAGACCCTAAACCCTAAACCCTAAATCCTAAACCCTAAACCCTATTTGACAATCGTCTTCCCTAGGCCTCCCTAGTATAACAACAGCAGCACCCACGACCACGCCCGTATCCAAAACAAGAAACAGACACACACAGACACACGACAGAAGCCTAAATAAGTACCAGTATAACTTCTTAGGGTTCCTTCTTCTAATTATACTATACCGGAGCTCAAAACCTTATTTCTAACTATTAAGGCCCCTAAACCCCAAACCCTTATAGTAGCCCTTTAAGGAACCCCTTCAAGGAGCCCTTTAAAGGAACCTTATTCTAAGTATTAAGGCCCCTACATCAGGTACAGTACACTTTTACTCTCTTTTGCTCAGACTCCAGAACTTCACGGCCCCGAGTGCCTCAGGAGTTCTAGGGCTTGGGGTTGACTTTGGGGTTTAGGGTTTAGGGTTTAGGGTTTAGGGTTTAGGGTTTAGGGTTTAGGGGTTTGGGGATGTTTTGTTATTGAATTGGGGCTTGGGGCTTGGATTTTTTGCTGAACCCCAGGGTCACCTATGTCGACGCATCCGGCCAGCCGATCCAGTACATCACGCAGGCCGGGGGTTTCCCTTTGACGTCTGGGGCTCTGGATGAGGGTCAGGGTCAAGGGTTCAGGCAGGAGGCAGCCCCGAAAAGCTGTAGTCCAGCGTTCAGGCTATGCAGTGTAAACACAGCTAAGTAGCCCTTGCAGCAGGACGCCGGCATGCCTATGACCTACACCTCGTCGCCCTACACTATGTCGGGAGGCTACACGTATCCAAGCATGCCGGCCGCAACGTACATGCCTGCCATGAGCGGCTTGGATCACTCCCAGGGGAAGTGGTTCGCACCCGGCGAGGCCCTGCCCCCTGGCTTCGTGGTCACCGCTCACCCGGAAGGCCACGCGGCACCCCAGGAAACCCATTCTATGACGGACAAGGCCCGCGAAAGCTTCGTGGTCACCGGCTCCTCTCTTCCCAAGGCGGCTGCCCCAGTGAAGAAGAGCAAGAAGGACAAGAAGAAGAAGAAGTCCAGCGGCTGCTGCTAAGCTTGAGGAGTTCATGAAGGACGAGTTCTCAGCAGTGATGGCAAATTCGGATTCATTTCTTTTGGCTGACAGAGGTGCCAGTCGGAGAGTTGGGTCTTGGGTTGTCAAGGACCATTACAGGGCCACACCTGCTTGCCAACGTACCATGTTTTCCTAACTCAATACGACATTGCTTGCATCCGTGCAGAGAAAAGAAGAGTGCTCACCGTTGTCCGAAGCACAATAGCCAAAGCCTCAGAAAGTGTAATTAGCACAACTGCTGCGAGTGATCCATGCTGTACCTTTGACAAGCGACACATCAGAATGCTGTGCAAGCATTGATCAACACCGCAGCGACCGCAAATGAGCGCGATGATCCTGAAGCCGCTGGTCCGCAGCATTGGTAGCAAGTGTACGCATTTTCAGTTTCAGGCTCGCATAGCACATGGCGAACCCGTGTATGGCATCAGTCCCGGCCGAGCCCATGTACACGACCATGCCGGCCTACACGACCGATCCTGCAGCAGCGGCGCCCGTGTACACGACGATGCCGGCCGATGCCATGCCGGCGTACACGATTCAGCAAGATGCCGGCGTGCCTGTGACCTACACCTCGTCGCCCTACCCTATGTCGGGAGGCTACACGTATCCA